AAAGAAAAGGAAAGGAAAGGAAAGGAAAGGAAAGGAAAGGAAAGGAAGTGGAGGGAGGGCTGGAGAGAGGACATGCCTATCTATCTGAGTACGTTTTAACTTCTTTATCTTAAAATGAGGGACTAGAACTATGTATATTTTTTTCTCAAATTAGTGTCTAAGGACCCAAGAGATCCAAAATCCTATGCAAAGTAGGTATTTTTTTATTTAAATGATTAACTGAAAAATTACTATAACCTTATTTTGGACCATATTCTAATGGACTTCTTTTTTTTTAAAAAAGAATTATTTTATTTAACTTTATTTATTTATTTATTTATTTATTTATTTATTTATTTAATTTGACCAGAGAAGGACAGAGAGAGAGAAAGAGAGAGGGTAAGTGAGAAAACAAGCTGCCAGGTTCAGAACTTGAACACCAGGGTCAGCCATGTGGGAGTCCAGTGCCCTTTACCACTATGGCACCTGGCAGCCCCCTAATGGACTCCTGCCTCTTGATTCAGTTTCTGAAGTTGTGTTTGCATTTGTGACTGTGATAGGAACATGTTTCAGCTGCATACAGCAGCCACATTCAGAGTTTCTGAAAGACGTTTTCACATTGGAACCCAGCACACCTACGCATGGGGATATAAACGCGACAGTAGTCTCCTGAGGTAGTATTTATCCTTTTATATAGAAAATACCCTATTCCCTTCGTCTCCACTCCCAGCTGGTCAGGACTCACTATCAAGCCATAGTCTTCAGTTAGAAAAGTCATAGCACATGACTGTGAGCTTGTTTAGGCTGCTCTTTTGTTTTGCAGTGTACATATTCCATTGAAAGACATCTTATGTTAGGTCATCGGGAAAGTCATGATGTATTTTTCTATGCAAAAATGTGTCATGACTTTCCAATGACCCAAAACAAATCTTGTTTCCTAAGGTATTTAATAAATTGGATCTTTGACAGGAAGATGTAAATCGTTACATGTGAGTACTATGCCATTTAATAGGGGATCCTGGAGCCAATCCCCCACAGATAACAAGGCAGGACTCTAGTTGGATCTACAGACTTGATTTGATTTGGGTTAAATATTTCAGGCAAGAATACCTAATAGGGGTTGGCCACACAGCCTAGTAGTTAAGGGAGCAAAAGGTATGCAGGAGGTATGGGATGGAGGGATATCTGACTGTTTATAGGAAAATGTGTCTTTGTGGGATCTCTGAACGTGATCCTTGGTCTGCTGGTCTCCCAATAATATGGGGAAAAGCACCATCCAGACATTTACTTGGGAGGACCATTTTCCCTGTAACCTGCAGAGCAAACAAACCAAGACACTTGTCAGAATACCCTTATTTATAGTTACATCCCTTTCGAGACCTGTTCAGCTCCCAATGTGCCTCTATTGTGCAAGAACAGCATTTCATGAGAAGTGTTTATGTTGGGGTGCAGCATCTTTGTCACAGGCCCTGGCAGCACCTCAGTTACTTCTTAGTGTGAGCTCTGAGTGCTCCAGGAGATCTTCTAACAACCAGCCTTTTTCTCTGTTTAAAAGGTCTCTCTGCAGTAATAGAGGTGAGTCTTGCAATAGGTTGGAACTCTCCACGGTATCAGCACTTGAAAGCAAAGAAGGAAGAGGAGAGCTGCTCCTCTACAATGGTACCCTTTAGCCTCAAGTGCCTGTTTTATTTTGGAGACAAAGTGTCATGCTTCAGAGCCACAGATGTGATTGTTAGGGGCTCATGACCTCTGGAGGTTGATGAAAATACTAAGTTCTGGGAGAGACTAGAGTAGATCAAGAGTATTCCTTGATACACTGCCAGCTGTTCACCAACATTTGTTTCCTCCTCTTCATGACATACAGTCAGACTATATTTTTCAGCCTTCCTTGCAAGTAATGGAAACTGAGGTCTAATTAATGGAACAGGCATAGAGAGATGGAGGAATGGAGAAGAGGTTGTGGTGTGATCATGACCCATTGAGTGTGTACCACTTCTGGCCTGGCCCAGAAAAACTTCCCATGTGCTCTCTCATTCATTTTCCTTTCTCTTTGGACTGGGTGGAATAGAAGTAGCCCCCAGGCCAGGCTTGTAAGTTGTCAGAGCCTCCCTCTATCTGAGTTCCTAAGTGACCATGAATGACTGCATGGAGGGGTAGGTACCAGCCCTCCAACACATCCCCCCCACCCCCACCCCGGCTGTTAAAGAGCAAAACAAGAATTATCCACTGTAATTGAGTCTACCTTAGCAAATGTAATCTCTAAAGCAGTTTCACATGCACCTTTTGGCAGGAAGCCTGTAAAATCATCCAAAAACCCTTAAGTGCCCTGCCTTGCCAATAAGCTGTTAGCAAGTCTTAACTCAGGAGATCTGCCTTTCCTGGCATTCTGAGATGCAGAAGTCCTAAATTACTTCCAGCTGAAGTGGAAAATAAACAAAACAAAACAGAAACTCATCTGTGGTAGACAGAATAACATCCCCTTCCCAAAGACATCCATGTTTTAGTCCCTGGAACCTGCAAATACATTATCTTAGGTGGTGAAAGAGACTTAGCAGATATGACTTAGCAGATATGATTTAGCTACTGATCCGGACACGGGGAGATTATCCTGAATTACCAAGATGGACTCTATCTAATCACATGGAAACAGTGAAAAAGGAAGTCAACAAAGTGGCCCTGAGAGAGGTGACAGGGGAATTTGATCCACTGTTGCTATCTTTGAGATGGAGGAAGGATCCATGAGGCAAGGACTACAGGCAACTTCTAGAGGCTGGAAAAGACAAGACAACGGAATTCTCAGTCCCTTTGAAAAGGAACACAGCCTTGTGGATGCCTTGATTTTAGCTCCGTGAGACTCATCTTGGGCTTTTGACCCAAGAGACTGTCAGATAATACACTGATTACTGTTTTCAGTCATTATGTTTGTGATCATTTGTTCTAGCAGCAATAGCAAACTAATACACATCCCATACAAAGCCCTTAAGTTAAAAAAATAGGTATCTCTGTACAATAGGCACATTCAAAGGTCTCTAATACATAGCGTCTATCTCTGGAAATAAGGGTACTTTATTCATGCATTTTGACATGGGGATGTTCCTCAGTGGCTGAAATAGATCCACTTGACTGTAGAGGAAATTATAAACATTTGGTCAGTGTCGGGACTCACTTGGCAGAACACGGTTTTTTAGGTGGGGGGTGGGGGCTGTGGATTAGAAATGAACATAAAAATAAACACAAAAAGACATACAAGTATAGCAAAATGAGGATTGGGCGGGCCCAACTTCTCTAATGAAAAGCTGTGACCCAGAACCAGCCTCAGGTTTATTCTTTTCTTTTTTTTTGAGAGATTTTCACTGTAGGGCGCGTGTGCTCGCCAGCCAGACAGAGAGAGACATAGAGACAGAAAGCGAGAAATCACCCCCCAGGGGGGATGGTCACGCCGCAATCCCTTCTCCTCCATTCTCCTCTCGGGATCTTGGGCACGCACGCACACGCGCCCGGCGTGAGTTTTAAGCCACCGGGTCCGGGACGTGAACCGCGGTCGACTACATGGGAGTCTAGCGACAGCCATTACGCTAACTGCTGGTTCCCAAGGTTTATTCTTTTAAAGGACAGAAAATGGGGGAAGAAGAAATGAAATGTAAAGCCAGTTCGTTTTGGATGTAAATTGTTTGAAGATGTAAAAATGACTGGCGCGAGTTTTTTTTTTTTTATATCTTTTTGGGGCAAAATTAATAAACACACATGGCTTCCTTTAGCCTGATACTGCTTTGTGGTATCAGCAACAGACAAATTAGCGTTTTTGTATACAGATGCTTTCACTGCCATACAAATGAAGCTCACAAAGCCATGTTTCTACATGTGTCTAAAGGTAATCATGTTTGCTCAGATTAGCTGCTCTCCACAGATCAGTCAGTCCTGTAAGATGCCAGCTATCTAAATATTGGAATTGTGTAGCCAGGTGTAGATCAGCTATGCCTATCAGTAACTTTTAAATTTTCATCTGGATGTTCTGGCAAGCACTGACATATCCAGGCTGTGAGAGATTTGGTTAGAACTACAGAAGTTCTCATGTACCAGGAGACCAATGACACATAGCCCTGGGTGTCTGTGGAGTCATGGTTTACTGATCAGGATGAGCTGCTGAATATTGTGGTCAGGCCCATGGGCAAGTGACACTTAAGATTTTGTTTCTAAATCACCACTCCTCCTGTACTGTTGAAATGTGGGTAGCTACTTCTTCTCTCAATTAGGGTGTCATCCTTCTAATTCATACCAAGTAAAACAGCTGGAAAATAAAACTTCGTGGGAGGGAGGAAGGACAGGGAGGAGGGAAGGGAGTTAACACACAGTTAGGAATGGATTCAG